TGTCACTCATATCTCAAATAAAAAGGTGGCAGTCATCCCAGGAAGGCAGCGCTTAAGTTCTAAGCACTTCACACTGTCCCACCCCCTATTCCTTCCTGGGAGGTCTCACTTACAGCAAGGCAAAACAAAAACAATACAACACTCTCACTTTGAGGGATCCTGTCCCTGATGCCAATTAAAAGATGTTATGATCCAATTTGGATGAGAGGAGGGTCCCCTTGCATTCTAACCGACCTCAGAGGAGTCAGGGAGGCTAGGGATGGCTAGACCAACCTCTCATTTCAGGTTCGATCCCTTCCAGTGAGATTAAGACACAAACGAGGTCAGATGTCCTAAGTCCACCCATTTACTAACCACTCGGAGAAGAGAGAAAAATAGCGATAGAGAAGGAAGGAAAACAAGAGAGGAAAATTAAGCAAGAGTTTGGGATAGGAAAGCGCAAACAGTCACCACCATGGATCCGCGGCATCCCAGGGGTCCATGCTTCTGGGGTCTTCGGTGGTAGGTGAATCACACCAGGGTCTTCAGTCGCGAGTGATCACACAGGGATCTGGGGTGGGGGTCTTTTATAGGTTGCGTGCCTGAGGCAACAACTTCACGCTTGCACAGAACTCCCTCGTGTCCTGCTTGACCAGGGCGATGGCACATATCCCGTGTCTCCGAGCCCCCTTATGCCAAGGGTCACACACGCCGACCGCGTGCACATGCCCACAGCCAATCGTCTGCTTTGAGCAGCCTGTCACTACGGCCTCGCTGCCGTCCTTGTTGCTGTGCGAGCGGGCGACACCCTGCGCACTTTCCTGCAAGGTCCTGCCAGCTTCATGTGGGCAAGCTTTCAGACAAATGTCCGGCCATTTTGTCCCTCACAAGGATGCACAGACGTCCTGGGGTGAGGTGCTGTCACTGCAGGGGAGGAGGGAAGGGCTTGTGACCCTCATGGTAGTGCAGGGAGAGAGCAGTGCATGTGAAGCTTCAAGCAAGTCTGGGGCTAGGTGTCCTGGTATCGGCTGGAATAGAGTTAATTTTCTCCCTAGTAGCAGGCATAGTGCTGTGTTTTGGATTTAGGATGAGAATAATGCTGATAACACACTGATGGTTTAGTTGTTGCTCAGCACTGCTTACGCCAGTCAAGGACGTTTCAGCTTCCCATGCTCTGCCAGGGGCACAAGAAGCTGGGAGGGGGCACAGCCAGGACAGCTGACCCAAACTGCCCCAAGGGCTATTCCATACCATACGACATCATGGGCAGTATAGAAACTGGGGGGGTTGGCCGGGGGGAGATGAGGCAGGGGGGGGGGGGGGTTGGCTGGGGAGCAGCGATCGCTGCTCGGGAACTGTCTGGGTATCAGTCGGCGGGTGGGGAGCAATTGCATTGTGCATCACTTGCTTTGTATATTATTATTATTATAGTATCGTTACTATTTCACTTTATTTCAGTTATTAAACTGTTCTTATCTCAACCCAGGAGTGTTTCTCACTCTTACTCCTCCGATTCTCTCCCCCATCCCATCGGGGGAGTGTTTAAGCAGCTGCGTGGTGCTGAGCTGTTGGCTGGGGTTAAACCACGACACTTGGCCAAAGGGATTCCTCACCAGGGTCTAAGATGTTGCCCCCAGATGTTACCCTGTTTTTCAACATTGCTCCATTAGACCTTGCGCTCACCTGCACATGTCTTGGGCCACCTCTTGAAGCCCAAATGCTGCCAGATGTTTGTGCCTGAACAGCTCCCTCCTGCCCTCCATCTCCATTATTGCCATGGGAACTGAGACAAGGAGCTTACATGCAGGTGCCCATTTTGTGCCCACCTGAAGTGAGGCAAAAGGAATCCCACCTGCTGTGGGTTTGTGCTCTGCATGGGAGGCAGCTGAGACACCTTCTTGACCCACGACTAAAAACCCAAACTGGAGCCATAATTCCTTCCCTCAGCAGGGGTACAGGAGATCCCTGCCTGTCACTGTCTGTGTTGTCCTGCCTAACGATGACTTCTCTTTAAGAGAAATTACACTGCTGGAAGTAAGAGTCTCTCCCCAGCTGTGGGAGGGAGCATCAGTGATGGCTTCAGGCTGTGTCACAGCAGGTTCCCCTGCAGCCCCAGGGACAACACAAGGGAGCCCAGAGGGGCAGAGCAAGGGCTGCCTTGGGCTGGTGCTGTGCTGCTGAGCTGGGCCGGGCTCCTGGGACGCAGGCAGCTCCTGGCAAGCGGGCAGCGCTGCAGAGAGACAGCAACGCCCAGGAGCAGCTCCTGTGCCAAGTGCAGCAGGGCTGAGGGCAGTGCCTGCAGGCAGGGAGGGGAGAGGAGGGAGGCAGGGAGAGGTTAAAGGCAGTGTGGGGTGGGAGGGTGCTGAGAGCTCACTGCAGGAGAGATCTTCACAGTCCTCTACACGGTAAGTCACTGGGTGCAGGGATCTCCTAAAGCTCCTACATCCCACTGTTTACAGGATCTGTCAGGATATCTCTCATGGTATCTCTGTTGTAAAGGACAACAACATGCTCCAGAGCAGGGCTGCCCTGCTGCACTGTCTGAGGTACAGGGCATGACGGCTGCCTTCTCCAAAGGATGGCTGCAGGAGTGTGAAGCTGGGTGTGCAGCCAGGGGTGCCCAGGGCTGTACTTGTGAACAGGGTCCCTGCACCCCAGGGTGCTGTGTTTCAGGGCAGGGACTCTCAGCCTGCCCAGGGAGCTCCCCACAGCACTGCAGGAAAAAGCTGTGGGTGGAAGGAGCAACCTGTGGCAGGGCAGGACAGGGCCCTTCTGCTGTCAAGAGGGTGCTGTGTGTGTCAGGGCTGCTCACTGCTCCAGATCAGCACTAAGGAACTGCCAATGGAATGTTTCAAGAAGAAGGTCAAAGCAGAGTTTACTACAAAGATAAGGAGATTTCCAGAGCGTGTATTTTCAGTTTCCTACTCTGAAGGCAGGGGAGAGAAGAGGGACAGTGGGGGAGGGAAAGGGAAATAGAAAAGGACCTGTAAAAGTTTGAACAAGTCATTGAGACTCCTGAGCTGTAACTTTGAGTGACCAGTAGGTCTGATAGGAGCCTCCTAAAGCGCCTTCAGCCACTCCTCTGCCTATGGGCAGAAGCAGCATCATTGATGATGGACACATTAGGATTAGTCTGAGCTTCTGAACCTCTCAAAAGGAAGATGCGGTCAGCCAGTGTCATGCGCACAGGCAGGTTTCTGGAGGGCTAAGGAGAGGACACAGAATTTGGGATGGGGTCTGTGAGCCGGGAAAAGATGTGGGACAGGGAAACACCTTCCAGGATGAAAATCTCCAGGCAGCAGGGATATCATCAAGGAATGAGAGGAAACTAAAACCAGAAATATTGTGAGAAGGAGAGTTCAGAATACTCTAGACCCATCAGGGTTCCACCAACCTGTCTTTATTCTATTTGCAAACAGGAAGAGGCACCCAGCCAAAACCTGAAAACAGGCAGCTTTTAGGAGGGCCAAGGAGAGTTCACAGACATGGCACAGGGAAAATCTCCCACAGTGTGAATATCCAGGCAGCAAGGGTAGCATCAAGGAATGAGAGGAAAAAAAACAGAAATGTTGTGGGAGGGAGAGTTCAGAAACCTCTGTCTCATCCCGTCCCATGCAGAGCCCTCCCCCTGAGCAAGCCCCCTTGCCTCCTCTCCCAGCCAGCAAAGCCTCTGCCCCAAGGGCTGGGGGCTCCAAGGTGGGAACCAGCTCCTCTGCAGCCAGAGCTCCAGCAGAGCCATACTGCAGCTCTCCAGCCCCACGGCCAGTGCCCTCTGCAGAGCACAGGGGCTGAGAGCAGCTGCCCGGCAATGCTGGTGCCTGGGAGGTGGCGGGCACAGCTGGGGAAGGGCAACGCTGGCCTGAGGGCCCGCCTGCCTCTGCCCTGGCCTCTCTCACCCACACCCTCACTCCAGTTCTCCTTCTCGCTCCACTTGTCTCTGTTAGTGCTGGGGTTATTTCCTTCTTGCTGTCAGGCTCTCTGGGCAGATGGAGGTTCAGCTGCAGTCACACACTGGTCTTGTGGGTCCCCCCATGCCTGTGTGTCCATGGGAACAAGTGTCCCAGCTTTCCTCTAAGCTGTGGGGCAGTGGGCAATGCAGTCAGTGCATGGAGGCCATGAGCTGAATCTCCCTTACTCAAATGCCATCACTAAGACACCTGGCTATAAGCTGGAGGTGTCCTTCCAAGCTGTGAGCTTCTCTCCGTGATGAAAACCTGTCCTATAGCATCTTTGTGTCATCTGAAATTCCCAGGGAGGGGCGCAGAGATGCTATGACAGAGAAAATGCTGTTGTGTTTGTGAAATGAGCCATGTGTGTTGTTGGCTAGAAGTGGGGTGCTGAGACCTTGAGAAAGGCTGAGACATTTAGTGGTCTGTGGTAGATCCCTCTGCTCTCAGCAGTGCCTGGTGGCTTTTCAGGGTAACATGGGAGTGTGATCAGCCTCCATGGGTGCAAGCCTAGAGAAACTGGCAAGTAGGCAGAGGGAGAAACCAGCTGCCCTCACTCTGCACTCAGCCACAGGCAATCCTCTTGCCTCGCAGAACTGGCTCTGTTCTCCTTAAGTGCAGCAGAAATGCTGGGGGTTTCTGATATCCAAGAACACTTCCCAGGGGAGATGAGGGGAGCTGTACAGGAACTTAGAACACTTACACTGCATTTACCATGCCCGTTCCTTAGCCCTGGGAGTGCAGATGCTGACAGGCCCTTCTGCGTTAACAGTGGTTTCATGTGACACAGTTGAACACCAGGACTGGTCCCTGCCCCTACCCACTGCTGCAGAGCAGGGCTTACTTCTCAAGAGCCCGTGGGCAGATGCCCTGCTCCTCATGGCACCCACAGCCAGCACCAGCCAGGGCTCCAGCCACAGAGCTAAAGGAAGGGCTGCTAGGAAAAGAAAAGGGTGTCAGTGTGTGATAGGTGGCAATTCTATGGGAAATGGCATTGATTTTGTTCAGAGAAGTCTCCCTTAACTTGTCAATGTCTTTTTCTCCTATGACAGTCCCCATGCCCAGAGGCAGCAGATGTCCAACAGCAGCTCCATCACTGAGTTCCTGCTCCGTGCTGAGTTCCTCCTCCTGGCATTTGCAGGCACACGGGAGCTGCAGCTCCTGCACTTCTGGCTCTTCCTGGGCATCTACCTGGCTGCCCTCCGGGCAATGGCCCTCATTATCACCGCCATAGCCTGTGACCACTGCCTCCACACCCCCATGTACTTCTTCCTCCTCAACCTCTCCCTCCTCGACCTGGGATCCATCTCCACCACTGTCCCTAAAGCCATGGCTCATTCTTTGTGGGACACCAGGGCCATCTCCTACTCAGGATGTGCTGCCCAAGTCTTTCTGTTTATCGTTTTCATTTCAGCAGAGTATTATCTTCTCACTGTCATGGCCTACGACCGCTATGTTGCCATCTGCAAACCCCTGCACTACGGGACCCTGCTGGGCAGCAGAGCTTGTGTCCACATGGCAGCAGCTGCCTGGGGTGGTGGGTTTCTCTATGCTTTGCTGCACACTGCTAATACATTTTCACTACCCCTCTGCCATGGCAATGCTGTGGGCCAGTTCTTCTGTGAAATCCCACAGATCCTCAAGCTCTCCTGCTCAGATGCCTACCTCAGGGAAGTTGGACTTATTGTGTTTAATCTCTTAGTAGTATTCAGCTGTTTTGTTTTCATTGTGCTGTCCTATGTGCAGATCTTCAGGGCAGTGCTGAGGATCCCCTCTGAGCAGGGACGCCACAAAGTCTTCTCCATGTGCCTCCCTCACATCACCGTGGTCTCCCTGTTTATCAGCACTGCCATGTTTACCTACCTGAAGCCCCCCTCCATCTCCTCCCCATCCTTGGACCTGGTGCTGGCAGTTCTGTACTCGGTGGTGCCTCCAGCAGTGAACCCCCTCATCTACAGTATGAGGAACCAGGAGCTCAAGGATGCAGTGGGGAAACTAATAACTGGATGTTTTTCTGAAGCAAAAAACTTCTTCTGTAGAGCAGCTATAATGTACCTCAATACAGGCCCAGCCTATTGTCTGTAATTTTTGTTGTTTGTGTTGTTTTTTGTGATAATGTTGTCAACCCCTGTCTAATTCAGTCTCTGGTTTTCTTTTCTGACCACGTGGCTGTGGAAATGAGGAGCCCTGTTCTCTCTGTGTGTTTAAACACAATAAAGTGCCCTTCAGTCAATTTTTTTGTCATCTGTTCCTTCCTCCAAGGCCTTTAAACACAATAAAGGACCCTTCACTCAATTTTTTTGTCTCAAGATCCCTCTTCCAAGAGCTTTTTGGAGCTGCAGGCACAGTTCCTGTGTGCAGGGGTGGAGGGCAAAAGAATGCCAGCAAGGCAGCACTGCCAGCAAGCACCAGCACTTGCTCTTCCAGGGCTCTTCTCTTCCCACTTGCACACTCTCGTTCTGATCCCTTGCGTTGCTGTAAGGCCTGAGTGCTCTGGCACTCACACCAGTGAAGAGCTCAAGTGTGTGAGTGTGCAGGACGAG